TGTCTGTTCATCTACCTCCACTTCTATGAAATCAGTTCTTTAGATTCCACGTAGGAGTGAGATCATGCAATACTTGTCTTTCTGTGTCTAGCTTATTCCATCATGTGGAACACCATGTGTTGTTGCAAACAACAAAGCTCAGGTTATTAACTGCTGTGCTATAGCACCTTTCAAATTTTCATAAAGTGAGTGCAAAATTAAAATTACCCAGAGTCTTGATACTTTCTCAATAAGCAGGTTGCATTATTTTTTTTATTATTGGTTGTTCAAATTTTTTTTTATTATTATTGGTTGTTCAAAAGGTTGCATTATTTGATGTTATGGTAGGGCTTGTATTCTTCCCACTGCCTGGGTTAGTGCTAAGAGCAGACATTGTCTTCAGCTGCAGGAAGAAATGGCATTTGGAGAAACTAGAGGTGCCTGTAAGTAAGGACACTTGACAAACTGACCAGTACAGCTCTGAATTTATTTACAGCTTCTCCTTTGAGGCAGGCTGTGACTACAGTGCTGTATTTCCCCTTGCCAATAGCCCATTGAAAGTGGAGGTGACCAATCTCTGTGTTTATATTTTATGCTTCTATCATTAAAAAAAAAGCAAGAAAAAAGTATGTCAAGTCTCTTAAATTTATTGTATCCTGAAAAATTGAGGGTTATAAATGCATACTTTTGGAATACCGATAAGTATCTTTTTTTTTAGTTGTTAATGGACCTTTACTTTATTTGATTATATATGGTGCTGAGAATTGAACCCACTGCTTCATACATGCTAGGCAAGCAGTCCACCTCTGAGCTATACAGCCCAGATATGTATCTTTGTACAGCCAAAGTGTTTCAATATAGACCATAAAATTTCACCAAGGAAGAACTGACTTTATATACAAGATTCCTCAAGTACTCAGAGAAGGGATTTCCTTTTGCAAAGTCATCACATTTGTACTCTGAATATTTGGAGAAATGTCCATCCCTTCGCAATGTATTTAAAATCGGGAGGCTGTTGCTATAGGGAAAAAGCTTCCTCTTTTTCTGAGTAAGAATTTGGTGCTTTGGACAAGATGTGCATTCTCTCCCCTGAATGGAACATCAGCTCTTGTTACTAGAAGAGTTCAAAAGTGAAAACAAATGCTTGCTTCTTCAGTTACTAAAAAATAAATAAACAAGGGTGTTATGCCAGCATAAAAAGCCCAAGACTACACAGCATCAAAACTTTCAATGTCATAATCTCTGCATTTATTAATTGTGTTGCATCAAATTTTGCTTCAACAAAAAACAAAGTTGGAAATCCTTTCATTTGTTTAGGGGGAAAAAAACCACTAAAGATGATCAAATTAATGTAAGGTGAAGATGAAAAATATAAACTCTAGAGTTTGATGCCTAGATCAGATCTCACGTCAGTCATTTATAGATTGTGTGAATTTTTAAACATACTATAATATTTTGTTTTTTTTTGATTTGGGCAGTAACAATAGATACAGTGATAGAAAACTCCTTGAGGTTGGGGGTGCATTGCTGTGACTGGAAAAGGGCATGAGAGAACCAACCTTCTGGGGTGATGGAAACATTTGTATCTTAATTTTCATGGAAGTTCCATCCATTTGTCCAATCGGCTCAATTTTATACTTACAGTAGAGATATTTTACTGTATGTGAAGAACAAAGATCCTGCCTTTGTCAGCTTTTCTGCCACACTGACCATAAAGACCTGACAAGAACAATTAGAAGAGGAAAAATGTAGTTGGGGCTCATAATTTCATAGGTCTCCAGTCCATAGATGGCTGACTCCATTCTCAGGACCTGAAATAAAGCAGAATATCATTGTGGAAGTGTATGGCAGAGGAAAGCAGCTGGGGACATGGTATTAGGAAGCAGAGAGAGAGGACAAAATATAAACTCCAAGGGTATGTCCCCAGAAACCAACCCACCTCCTCCAGCCACACCCCACCAAGTTAATCTCTATTTCAGGGTTAAAACTCTGATAACTCAATCATTTCATCTCTAAACTGTCTTGCATTGTCTCACACATGAGCTTTTAAAAGGGGGACACCTCACATCTAAATCATAACAGACCCACAATCGAATCTTGCCAGCCTTTTGCTCAAAATACTTTGAAGGTTTTTCATTGCTTTCAGTGAACACCTTACATCTGGCCCTGCAGCCTCTCTGACCCCATCTCATGTCACTTTCCTGCACTGTCACCCATCTTCACTGTCACAGCCCTTCATCTGGCTCCTTCATGTGTCTCCTACCACAGAGCCCTTCATTGTACATGCTTTGCCTCTGCCTGCAGTGCTCTCCCCACCAGGGAAGATGGTGTGATTTTGGCCAAATTACTTAAGAATCTTTGGGCTTCAGGTGATTCATCTGTAGAATAGTTTATAATTAAATAATAAATATTAAAAGATTTTCTGGGGGCTAGTGTGAGAATGAAATGAGATAATGTCTGTAAAGTGCTCAGCATAGGGCTGGGCTAAATAAGAGTTCAATAAACAAAAGCTGGTTGAAACCTCCTAAATTACTGTGAAGAATGAAGTGCAGTCTAAATATCTGTTAACTAATGTATATTGCACACACACACACACATATGTAAGTGAAAATATTTTACTATAGTGCATTTTGTTGACAGTATTTGGAACACTTGTCCTTTCTTAAGGTCAGGAACTGGGTCCTGGACAGGGGCATCAGACATTGGCTCTGGTTTTCTAGTTCCATTGACTGCACTCCTGGGGCAGTGACATTTTCTGGTCATCTGCCTTCGGTTAGGGGAATGACTAGGCAATAGGCACGAGTGATATAATTCTGCTGACTTTGGGTTTTCCTTTCAGTTGTGAATGACAAAGAAATGCAATTAGCAAGGGCTAACTTCAGCTTTGTCAGATGAGTTATAGAAGGCGTCATGCTTTTTTGGACTGCTTTCATTGCTGCTATGTTAAATATTTTAGTGATTGCACAGTTTGAAGACAGTGTAAACCAGAAACTGGTAAGGCTGTGGTACTCAGATAGATCTCTTTTGTGTATTAGAGAGTGTCATCTGTTGTTCATTCTATTACACACATGCTGCAGTGCTAACAGGAACACTAATGGTAACAGTAGCTGACATTTATTTGAGTGCTTACTATTTACCAGGCATGGTTAAACCATTCTTTATATATTAACTCATTTAATACTCACTATATTATCATTCCCATTTTATAGTAATTAAAAAGTAGGCCTGACTGATTTAGGAACTTTTCCAAGACTATACAGCATCAAGCCTTTCATCAATCAAAAATTTTTAATTCTTCTACATTATTCATTATTTTATATTAATTTTTAGAACATAATTAAAGTGATCAATTTCTTCGAGTTCTGCATGGGGATATTTTCCTGGAGGTGGAAAGAAAATGTTCATTAAGCTTTCTAAGTTTGGAGGCTCATCTAGTATAAAGTAGGACCCTCATATCAAGATTGCTTTAGCTCAATTGTCAGGAACCCTCTGAGATCATTAAAAGACAGTTTTATACTTTGTAAAACTAAGACAATGAATAGGGCTAGAAGTTAGAATATTCTGCGAATGGATGCTGGACTTTTTTTGGGGGGGGGTTAGTTTTTCTCTACGTTTCTTAGGATGGTCTTGAATTCTTAGGTTCAAGTGATCCTCATGCCTCAGCCTCCCAGTAGCAGGGACTACAGGAGCACCATTGCTCTGGGTTTGTGGCTTCTTTATTTTTTGAGTGAGACATTTTTATCGATTTCCAAGCCAAAAACAAGTGTGTGTGTGTGTGTGTGTGTGTGTGTGTGTGAGAGAGAGAGAGAGAGAGAGAGAGAGGGAGTGTGTTAGTTTTCAGGAATGATTAAAATTCAGGGGTTGGGAATGGGGGAGGTGAGAGAGAACAGAGATGACCAGACTTCACAGTTGGATCCTTTGTGAAATGAGATAAGACTATAAAACAAATAATAAACAAATAAAATTCCTGCAGGGCTTCCCATTCACTCTCTGAACTGACCAATGGCAAACACCCTTCTTCAAGAGTCTGTTCCTCAGTCTCTTTCAGAGTCCTGGAAATGGTTTCAGTTGGGATAACTTTTACTTGGAACAGGGCCTGTTGTTAACTGGAGAATCTTTATTTGGATGAAACCATGTAGGTCAGGGGATTGAACTGAGAGTTATCAGGTCATAGTGTCAGGGACAAATGGGGTTAGTCAAATATTCTCTTCAATGGGGAATGAGAAAAGGACACAGTGGCCACTGGACTTGTATCTACCACTGAGTAGACCAGTCTATGAGTGCTGGGTGGGAGTGCCATGTTACTAAACCGTGATGGGGTTCTCCTGAGGAAGGCCTTTGGCTCCCTGGCAGGAGAGATAAAGTGAAGATCCCAAAGGGAACCCAGAGGATGCCACTCTGAGAGAGGGAGGGAGGGAAGGAGGGAGAGAGAGAGAGAGAGAGAGAGAAGGAAGGAGGTATGGAGGGAGAGAGAAAGAGAGGGAGGGAGGAAGGGGGGATCCTGATGCCTTTATGAGGCTTTGAGGAAGAGGAGAGGATAAAATAGCTTTTCCACGGGTGGTAATGGAACAGGGTGGGGATGGGTACTGAGTGAGGGATGAGCTCACATTTAACAATAATGTAAGCAGGAAGCACCTCGTAAAGGCAGGGTTGGCCCCAGCTAGTGCTCTTCAGCCTTACTACTGCTTAATATGGAATCTGTACTGCAACCAGCGTCTGGGCACGTAGGCAGAGGTGTCCACGTCCACCACAGTGAGCACACCCACAGCAGTCAAGGTCCTTATCATTAAGACTCAGCAGAATATTGGCGGGAGGGCCTGGAGAAGCAGGTGATGGGTGAATCCCACCTCTGCAGGGGGAGGAGCGGTCTGTGAAGATTGACATTCGGACACAACCCCCTCCTCTCTGCACCGCTCGGTCCCAGAAGGAGGCACAGTGGCTGGTGGCCACCTGCCAAGTCAGGCCCAGGCCGCGGAGGTGGCGTAAGGCTCTTCAGACACCGCCGCCGCTGCCACTCCTTTAGACTCTGGACGTGCGTGGACCGGGGGCGCTCTGCCTCTGCCTTATAAAAAAGCGTCAGGGCAGGGCGGGCCGGGCACCCGGGAGGCGGGTACCAGGCCTCAGCAGAGTCCGGGCGGCCGCGCCTCGCCTTCACCTGTTGCGGAGGCAGGGTCTGCGGTGGCTGGGGCTCGGCTGGCTGGACAAGTAGGTGTGCGGTTGCAAAGATGGGCCGCTATTCTGGCAAGACGTGCCGGCTGCTCTTCATGCTCGTGCTCACCGTGGTCTTCTTCGTGGCCGAGCTGGTCTCGGGATACCTGGGCAACTCCATCGCGCTGCTCTCGGACTCCTTCAACATGCTCTCCGACCTGATCTCGCTGTGCGTGGGCCTGGCCTCCGGCTACATCGCCCGGCGCCCCACCCGAGGCTTCCGCGCCACCTACGGCTACGCGCGCGCGGAGGTGGTGGGCGCGCTGAGCAACGCGGTCTTCCTCACCGCTCTCTGCTTCACCATCTTCGTGGAGGCGGTGCTGCGCCTGGCCCGGCCCGAGCGCATCGATGACCCGGAGCTGGTGCTCATCGTCGGCGCCCTGGGGCTGGCGGTCAACGTGGTGGGGTTGCTCATCTTCCAGGACTGCGCCGCCTGGTTCACCTGCTGCTGCCGGGGCCACCGTCGCCGCCTGCCGCAGCGGCAGGAGCAGGCTCTTGGCAACCCTCCCGGCGCTTTCGGGTGGCCCCAAGGCGCCGAGGGCCAGCAGCATGCTGCGACCCCGACGGCCCCCGGCTTGGACTCAGCTGTGACCCTCCGGGGGGCTTCGATCGAAAGAAAGCAGAAGGGGGCGACCGTATTCTCAAATGTAGCAGGTGCCTTTCAGTTGCATCCTTTGGACCGTTTTGCCCTTCCCTCCTTCCTCTTTCCTCCTCCCCTTTCCTCCCCCCTGGTCTCTACCTCCTTGTCCCTACCTCCTTGTCCCACGCCCTCTTTTTTTTTCCCTCTGATTTTTTAAAATCATTTTTTTGTAGTCCTCTTACTTATCCTAACTTAACATTTTCCACTATTTTTTCCTCTTTCTCTCTCTCTTTTTTTTTTTTTTTCCGCTGCTGGATCTTTTGGCCTTTATCTTGTTTTTCCTTCTTTGCATTCTCTGTATGTGGAAGTATTGATTTTCTTGGACATCAGGTCTTATTATTGGGCAACAGATAGCTCTTTTGGTCCTGTGTCCCCTTCATTGGTTGTGTCTGAACTTTGTTTTTTCCTCCCCCTTTGCCCATCTTCTGTCTCTTCTGTTATGGGTTTTGGGGGTTGGGGGTAGGCTCCTACTTGCTCCCTTTTTTGTTTTAACCTGAAAGGAAGTGGGAATGAAGTCCAAAGATAGATCATGGGCTCTTTCAGAGCCCAAATGTACTGTTCTGGGCTATGTGTGTGCAGAGGTAGGGGCTCCCATATGCTATTAGGAATGTAAAATAACACAACTTTGAGTCCATTGGTTTTTTTTGTTTGTAGAACTTATACACAACACAAGGTTTCTTCTTTGAATGCAGGTGATTCCTTGAACACCCCGAATGAGCCTGAAGAGACTATGAAAAAGGAGAAAAAGTCTGAAGCCCTGAATATCAGAGGTAAGATTGACTTGGAGCCACTTTGAAATCCTTTTCATTGGTACATGTGGACTGTGCTGTGCTCTTCATTTGTGTTTGACTTTGAATAAGGCAATAGTGTGTTCAAAAGTAGGCCAGTTACCTGTACAGACTATGACCCTAGTCTCTTGCCTAATCACTGCATTGATTCTGAAGGAGGAACTAGTTGCTAATGATTTATCTTTGCTCTGGTTGAACCCATAATAATGCTGCTTGCTCCCAAGCTCCCATGTATCAATGCCAAGTTATTGCTTTATTTGACTTTGTCCAACAATGGATATTGTTAACATACAATGCACCCAATTTCATTTATTTTTAAAAGGCTGTGTGTGTGTGTGTGTGTATGTGTGTGTGTGTGTGTGTGGTGTTAGGGTTTGAACCCAGGGCCTCATGCATGCAAAGCACATATTTTACCTTGAGTTATGCCTGCAGACCTAATTCAGTCTTTCTTAATTGAATATGATTTTGATAAAGATAAGAGTAGGTGGACCTCTATCCAAGGTTATAGCCTGCGTGGCTTTGCTGAATGACTCTGTGGCCTGTTATTTCTGCCAGAAAACTGCTCTTGTAAAGGAACTGTCAGTTCACAAAACCTCCATTTTCAGGTCCACAGTGAGGATTCTGGTGAAGCCTGTGGAAGGCTTCTAATCACATGTCAGCATCACTGGGCTAAGGTCAACCCTTTGGATTCTGAGGTCTGTTTCTCACTGGACACTACTGTATCCAACACACCTCCTTTCCAATTTATTGGGCCCAGATTTTGTTTTAGAGTGGTTGCAACAGTGGTTAATCCCCAATCTTTGAGAATTTCAACAAGATTTAAGCAATTATTTACTTTTATATGGTTTTGGGGAAGCCTATTGTGAGGCATAGTTGGAAATAATATAATGAAAAACCAATAATCTAGGAGACGCCTACTTTATTGAGAGTCTCACATCTGATTTATAAAGTGATTCTCAGAATGGAGCTACAGAGAAAATCCAGAAACAACACAGGAGCTCCTAAAAGTCTTTAAAGCAATAAATAAATAAATAAATAAATAAATGCAACAGGGGAATTTGCTTCTTTGAAGAGCTTGATAGCAAATCTTTTTAGAAAGAATCTGTAATAAAAAAATCATTATCCTTTCATTTATTTTTCTTTTTAAAGGCTCAGTTTAATACCCACCTGGGCATGATAGATTTTTTTAAGGTACAGGTAACGATTGTAGCACTTTAGCTTTTTGAAGCACATCCTAGTCATTGATTACCTTCATTCTTCTGTTACAAAGTTGAAAAAGAGAACAGGTAGGTGGAAAGAAGTGACAAAGAATGAAAAGTAGACCTCAGCTGACATTGTGACCTTGTTTAAGAAACATGCATGATCTTGATAATGTTTAGTCTTCAGCTATTGGGGTTCCTGGGTAGAAAAATGTCTGCAGTAAAATGCCTTCCTTTTCCTGGCTGAGCCTGTGCTCCACAGACACTAAGAAAAGCATCCATCTGGCTTCTGAGAAGGTGAAGATTGCAGTGGACAAAAGACAAGTATTTGGCTTTAGGCTGCTTGGGTTTGGTTCCCAAGTTATCATATGCCCTGGATTTCCAGTTCCCTAATCTTTAAAATAAGGATAACGGAACCCACCTCATGGGCTTACTATGTATGAGATAAAACATATAAAACACTTAGCCTTTTAGTAGGAAAATGTGCTAATGTATTTGTTGAGTGCTACTTTGTGCCAGGCACCATTAATGAGTAAGCCATGTAGTGGTCACAGCAATCTTCCTAGGTAGATACTGTTGGTATTCAGCTGGAGTGGAATGGCTGGGCTCAAACCCCTTCTGATTAAGTGAGGGTCAGCTCAGATCATCCTGCTACTGCTATTTTTTTTTTCTAGAAATGGAACCACAGCCTTGCACATGCTAGGCAAGAACTCTACTGCCGAGCTACATTCTCTGCCCTTTTTATTTTATTTTGAGATAGGATCCTGCTAAGTTGCCCAGCCTGTCCTCAAACTTGGGATCCTCCTGCCTCAGGCCCTTGAGTAGCTCGGATTACAGGCATGTGCCACAATGCCTAGCTTCCTGCCCCTTCTGGTGAATACCCTCGCTATGGCTAAATAGAGCCTTTCCACATCTCAAGCTGTGTGAGGCTGGCCTCACTTTACTTAGACCTTGTAGCTTTATGTTGGAGCCACGATTAAGGGAAGGACTGCAGAACAAATGTTAGGGATAGAAAGATGTTAGAGAAAATGGACTTCAACTTTTCTACTTTACAAATGAGGAAATAGGGTCCAGAGTATTTGGCGGTTGCCTCCAGTCACCCTGGCTAGCAGCAGAGGTAGGCCTGGGATCCTGGCCTACTCCTTCACATTGCTGGATCTTTTCATGATCACACACTGACTTCCAAATGGGAATGGCTTGCTTCTCTAGTGTACACATGCAGCCCAGTGGTTACATTTCTAACATCTAAGCAATTGCTTTAGAAAGTAGGATTGCTGCTCTCTCCAAATTTGCAAAGGAAACATCTAATGGGCTTTCCTGTGAACAAAAATCACTTCTTGATTTTCATTACTGTTTCTCTCATTCCAATGGGAATAATAAAATTTAAAAAAACAATGAATTCTAAGAAACACATTCCATCTTCTGCTGCAAAGTATTGTGAAAACAGCATCCTTTTAAAATTCTCACCATTGTGTTTTATTTAATAGGCTCAAACATGAAACATTAAAGTGTTGTAGCAGAGTGTCAGAAAGACAATTAGCCCCTTAATTTTAGTATAAACATAAATAGACGAATAGCAATCTTGACATCACTTGAAAATAAATCCCCTTTGATAAATATTTCTTTATAATTCTTGCCTTTGTCCAGTAAGAAAGATCTCATCCTTTTATAAACCACCTGTATATGCTCAGTACAAATGAACTGTGTTTGTAGTTATTGAACAAATTCAACAGGACCAGTGGCTTTTTCATGTGCTGGGACACTTATCAAATTTCAGTATATGTCAAATTGCCAATTTGTGGTATATGCCAGTTTTTTTTTCCTCCCCTGGTTTTATGGAAAGTCAATAAATGAAGGCCAAGTGCAGAGGTTCTCCTTTTTTTTTTTTTTTTTTTTTTTTGCCAAACAACCGTGTAAGCATAGTGACTGGTCAGGTGGTCTAGTTGTTCACTAAGTGGTGATCTTTGTCTCTCAGGTAATTTGCCAGGTTTATTTTTCTGCATCACAATGTGATCACATTAGAGTCTGTTCAGAAATCTTCACAGCTTCTAGATAAAGGTCTAAACTCCATGACCCTCAGTGGTTTGCTATCCTGGTGCCAACATTCCTTTCTAGACATTTTCTGCCTTTCTCTTACCCCCTTCACTGCCTTGCCTTCCCTATAGCCCTTCGTTGGTTTACCTCCTGCTCCCCAATAATGCGTAAGTAGAATGGGGTGAGAAGTGATCAGACTCTGGTGCCAGGCAGTTCTCGTCTGGATTCCAACTCTGCCTTTTTCCTAGGTGGGTGACCATGGGCATGTAACTTCACCTCTTGGGTGTTGGTCTCCTGATCTGTATCGTGAAGATGATGGTATCAGCCTCCTGGTGTTCTTTCAGATTACATGGGTGCTTGGAACAGCATAGAGGACTCACAAATGATACCATTATTGTCATCACCTCCTGCTCAGTTCTCATCATTTTATATAATTCTAAGGGATTCATAGTGGTACTTCTCAGGAGGAAAACCTGAAATTGAAATTTAGAACTTACACAAGGCAGGATGTGCAGTGGTCCTTTAGTCAGACTTCCCAGGCTTCTGTCTCTTAACACTTTCTAGCCATGTGACCTTGGACAAATTACTTAGCTACTCTGTGCTTCAGTTTCCTTATTTGTGAAATGAAGCACTTAACCACCTCAGAGAGCCCTTAAGAAGACTTACTGTATAAATAAGCTTAAAACAATGCCTGGTACTTACTTTTCCATTAACATTACAAAGATCGTTACTATTATTATTGTTACTAATATTTTCATGGTTCTGGGGATTGAGCCTAGGGCTTTGAACATGCAAAGCAAGCACTCTAGAAGTGAGCTAACCCCCAGCTCAATTATTATTATTTTCACTTATTATTAAAGACAGGAGTTACTCTATGTCATAGGAATTATGACTTATGAACCAGAAAATGTTGCCTTATTGAGTAGACATTCTCTGCCTTCAGTGCAAAGAAATTCAGGGTATGACTGACATTCATGTCACTTACAGTCTAATGGAGGAAACGAGGCTCACATGCATGAATCTACCAGGGAATAACAGACTGTCTCAGGTTGTGAGAATGACAAGTAAGTGTAGGAACCATTAGGTTTTCCTCTTTGAGTGCAGCACTTTGTGCTGTCCTGAAGAAAGTTAAGCCTTCAATTTTCGGTTCTTGCTGAGGGAACTGGGTTGATAGGACAACTCGGAGAAAGTCCTGAGTCTCTCTTGCCTGGCTCAGGAGAGGAACTGGGGAGGAAGAAGGGCTTTTGGGATGGGTCGGGGAGAGGAGGCACAGAAATAGAAAGTGGGAATCTTTCATGTAGATATTGTATCAGAGTCTCAGCCAAAAGGAAATGTGGGCAGCCTGCCTACCTGCCTTGCTTCCTTTTGCAGTGCTGTAGAGTAAACCCAGGAGGACCTGCACATGCTGGCAAGTGCTCTACAACTGACCTACACCCCCACTTTTTTGATGGGGGTGGTCGGCTACCAGGGATTAAACTCAGGGGCACTCGGCCACGAAGCCACATCCTTAGGACCTATTTTTAATTTTTAGAGACAGGGTCTCATTCATTGGTGAGGCTGATGGAACTTTTGATCCTCCTGTCTCAGCCTCCCGAGCCACTGGGTTACAGGCGTGTGCGACCACACCTGTTTTTTTTTTTTTTTTTTAATACCTGTATTTTTTTTTGGAGCGGGGGGATTGCCATGAATTACACCAAGAATATTTGTAGAATACCATTTGAACTGGGATGTTAGAATCCTGAATGTGCTGCCAACAGGAGGAATTAGCCCCATGAAAGCACCTTCCATGGGAAGCTATTTAGCCATGAGTGCATTGTTAGTAATTTGGATTGTTATTAATTCTTCTGAGTGGACCTGTTGGATATGTGGAGAGAAAAGCAGACCTTTCTTAATCTATAGCTTTCTTCTAGAGCAGTGCTTTGAAAACTTTTATATGCATTCAAATCACCTGGGGATCTTGTTAAAATGCAAGTTTGGATTCAATAGCTCTGTGAATTGAATGAGTTATTTAGCTACTCTGTGCTTCAATTTCTTCATTTGTAAAAATGGGGATTCTTCATTTCCTTTCTCCTTTTCTCCTCTTCCTCCTTCTTTCATTTTTTATATTTATTTTATTCTGAATTTATTCCCTGTCTTCTGGTTTAGGAACAGTTTGTTCTTTTTCATTTTAGTGTAGCAGGGGAGCTCAAGTGACTCTGACTATGAGCTCTGAGAGGTGGTACAGCTGGGTGTTTTGTTCATTGGGTGTGTTCCATGACCATAGACTCTGCATCTAAACCCTTAAGTTCAGCATTACTCTCTGCATATTTAAGCATATGCAGCAAAAATTCAGCACTGTTTTTGGGCCACCAACCCAGTGTTCAGCCCTACTGCTTGGCCCAGGCACACCTGCCAACTCCATCATTCACATATTATTTCTTTAAAGTAACATCTTTTGGACATGAAGTGGCTTTCTGGATATGCATATCATCCTTAATGGCCTGGGCAGTTTCTCAGGTGATTATTAAAATGAGCATGAATTTTTGAACCTCTTGATTTGCATGATTTTTTGGAGGCTTCTGGGTCAATTGAACTTGAGCCATTTTTAGATTACTTCCAGCTGCTTCTAGAAGGGTGAGTGAGACCCTGCATCTCTAACGAGCTCTCCTGAGCTGCATTGCTGCTGGCTTGGAATAGCAAGATACTACTTTCTGTAACACAAAGGCTTTGTGTTTATATTTCATTACCCATCTTACCAGATTTTTGCTGAATTTACTAAATGTCAGTTAAGTTGATGTTTAACAATCAGTTGGGCACCTGGATCTTCTTTGTTGGCAATTGCTTATTTTCTATATCATAATTGATGCATTTAGAAACAGTTCTCTTAATCCAAGATATCCATGATTTTTATTATTATCTGTGGAATTTTAATTTGATTTGGATTCAATTTTTGATTGTGACAAATGGCTCTTTATGTGGTGGACATTTTGCTGGAGCCCTTTTTCTTGAGAACTGCTTATATAGCAAATGCGATTGAAATGACTAAGTGAGGTTAAGTGAGAAGTAGGCTTACAGGGAAGGGGGAGAATGGATCATGGCAGAAGGAAGACAAAGGACATAACTTTTGACGTAACTTAATTCTGTCTCCTTTTAAAAATACTTTAAATAATTTGAAGTATGGATGCTTGTCTGAAAGAACAAGAAATTTACACAGCCTCTGTTTTCTGGCCTGGTGCCCTTTGAAGGTGGGTGGTAGTGAGGTGAACCTCTGAGATGGCACAGTCACTCTTCCTGCAGGTGACAGTCAGCCCAGATTCTCCCAGGCGGTTCCTCTTCAGTGGTTTTCTGGGCCCTGGGATGGTGGCCGGGGCTTTTCTTTTCAGGAAATCAGTTGCTAGCACAATTCACAATAGCTAAATTGTGGGACCAAGCCAGATGCCCTTCAGTAGATGAATGGAAAGGGAAACTGTGGTATATATACACAATGTAATATTACTCAGCATTAAAAGAGAATAAAATCATAGCATTTGCAGGTGAATGGATAAAGTTGGAGAATATAATGCTAACTGAAGCAAGCCAATCCCCCAAAACCAGAGGCCGAATGTTTTCTTTGATATGAAGATGCTGACTCATAATGGGGCGGGGAGCCTGGGAGGAATGGTGGAACTTTAGATAGGGGAAAGGGGAGAGAGGGGATGGGAGGGAGAAAGAAGGTAGGAATGATGGTGGAATGAGTTAGACATCATTACCCTAAGTACGTGTATGAAGACATGAACGGTCTGAAAATACTTTGTGTACAATCAATGACTTGAAAAATTGTGCTTTATATGTGTAATATGAAGTGAATGCATTCTACCATCATGAATAACACATTAGAATAAATAAATAATTTAATTTAAAAAAGGAAAATCAGTTGCTGTTGTTTTTGATTATGATTCATTCTGCTGTTCAGATAAAAAAACAAAGCAAATAGCAATGGATATTCGTATATTTGAAAATCCAAGGGTGACACAGCTCGGGCTGCCAAACTTCGATCTGTTTCATTGGTTTCTCTTTCTTCTTGTCAGGTGTTCTTTTGCATGTGATGGGAGATGCCCTGGGGTCGGTGATTGTGGTCATCACTGCCATTATATTCTATGTGCTGCCCCTGAAAAATGAGGACCCGTGTAACTGGCAGTGCTACATCGATCCCAGCCTAACTGTTGTCATGGTCATCATTATTTTGTCATCTGCCTTCCCACTCATCAAGGAGACTGCTGTCATTCTCCTGCAGATGGTCCCGAAGGGAGTCAACATGGAAGAGCTGAGTAAGTAGACTGGATTCTGATCTAGAACCAATGTCAGCTGAATGTCATTTCAGACCAAAGGACCAGCATTATGGCAGAGCATTATGTATTCTGAAATACGTGAAATCACCATGCAATAGAGATGTCCCTCATGTGGTTTGCAGCCTAGCAAGATGATTCATAGCTCCAAGATCCAAAGGTCCTTTGTAAGCCATGATTGTCTGATTCAGCTGCAAAAATTTTGATAACATAGTACTTGGGTAGCACCTACTTCTGGGCTATTTACGTTCACTGCAAAGATTTATTTTAATTCAAGGTCACTTCTGCTAAAAACTTGATTTTATTCCCTTTTTTATTTTCTGAAAACACAAATCATTCATATTCTAGATCCTGCTTTCTAGTTAGTTGACTTCTGTGGATGTCTTTCATTAGACTCTGGGGTGCCTCTGGGGTTAAAAACTTTTCAGATTTTGTAGAATTTCGAAATATGAACTATTAAGATGTTGGTGGGAAACTGAATATATGAGTTTATTTCTAAATGGAGATTACATTTTCATAGAACAAAATTATTTCATGTGTATTATTTATTTGTCATTGCTTTATCAATGAGCAGTAAATTTGAAATAGAGACTGGAAGACTTTATTTCATGACATATACCTGAAATTCAATTGAATGAATCCAAAATACAGTGAATAGCTGTGGTTGGACTGTCTCCTAATAGAGGGGTGATTTGCAGTGGGCTTTTTTTTTTTTTTTTGCAGTGCTAGAGATTGAACCCAGGATCTTGTACATGCTAGACAAGTGCTCTGTCACTGAGCTACATCTCTAGACCCTCTTTTATATTCTAGGGCTTGATCATAGGGCCTCACACATCCTAAGCACATGATCTACGACTGGGTTACACCTCCAGCTGCATCTGGCTGTTCTTTGAAGGCTATGGCCTTGCCAGTGCTGTGTTCACTTAGCATGCGTCGGTGCCAATCTGTGGAGCCACTGCCAATAGCTGAGACTCCTCCTGTGCTCTTTTTTTCCTGGATGTTCTATTTGTCTTTTTTGGCCTTTTCTCTGGCAATGTTGTCTCTAAAAAGCCAGTGAGGTATGGTTAATTCTTTGGCTGCTTTAAAATTTGAATCAAAGCACCTACTATTTGCCCAATGCTACAGGCAGACGCAGTGGTGCAAATGGAAGGGAGACATAGATGAGCAGGCATTCATGCTTTTGCCTCCCCCCGGGATCTAGCTTGTTTCTCAGTTAAGAAAACAAGATAAATATATATGAAAGTCTGTGATAGTATACTGGCTATGCCTTTAAGTAAGATCATAATATATTTTAAAATATATTTGAAAGATAATAACAACAGCAATACTTATAAACCTATTACATGCTAGGTACTGTTCTAAGAGCTACTTACGTTGATTCCTTCCAATCCTTAAAATAATCCTATGTGGTACCATTATTATCATTCCTAATTTACATATCAGGAAAATGAGGCACAAAGGGGCTAGGTCAGTTGCCTAAGGTCATGTAGGTTGTCAGAGACTATACTAGGATTCCAATTCTAGTTGGCCTCAGAGTCTTTTCTCTTAAACACTGTTCCATATCATCTCTCTAAATATACACTAATTTTAGAAAATATGAAAATTACACAAAAACCTAAATAGTGTAAAGAGATTCCATATAATTTGATCATGGAAACTGTCACCCTTAGTATTTTTTTTTCTATATACAAACTTTTTAAAAAAGATCATGCCATATATATAGTTTAGCTTCTTTGCTCTTTTACTTAAAAATACCTATTTGCTTAAATATGCACTTGCTTTTAACAGGTATATCATCTTCTATAGTATAATTGGGTTAACTATTTCCTATTTTTTTATTAATACAAAAAGCATTGCCCAAACCATTCTTGTACATAACAAAAATATTTGGTATTTCCTTTGGGTTAAATATCTTGAAACTAGAATTGCTGGTAAACGTTTTTGGTTCATATTGCTAAATTATACTTTTTAAAAAAGAAATTCCACTTTATGTTCTCCTGGAAAACCCATTAGAGTGTCCATTCCCTTGTGTACTCAACAGCCCTGGACATTTTCTTTCTGGTATTGGAGACTGAACCAAGTGCTTTTTTACCACTGAGCTTCATCCATAGCCCTTTTTATTTTGAGACAGGATCTTGCTAAATTGCTGAGGCTGACCTTGAACTTGTGATCCTCCTGCCTCAGCTTTCTGAGTCATTGGGATCACAGGTGTGCACCAATGTGCCTGGCTGACATACTTTTCCGTTGTTAGACTTCTTTTCTTGAATTCCTTTTCATGGGCTAGTAATGTGTGGCATAGGAATTCAGAGAGGAAAGAGAGGCTTATGGGGAAACATACTTACAGAGGGACAACTGTTTTTTCTGTTAATCTCAGCAAAAGCACTGCCATTTTGTTGAGTGTGCTTGTGGAACCGAAGCCAGGTTCGTAGTTCTGTGTTTCAGTGAGAGCACTCACCAGGGCTTTTGTTTGCTCTTCTATCTTCTAGTGAGTAAACTCTCTACTGTGCCTGGAATCAGCAGTTTGCATGAAGTGCACATCTGGGAACTTATAAGTGGAAAGATCATTGCCACCCTGCACATCAAGTATCAGAAGGACAGGGGATATCAGGATGCCAGCACAAAAATTCGAGAAATTTTCCACAACGCAGGAATCCACAATGTGACCATCCAATTTGAAAATGTGGACGTGAAGGAATCCCTGGAGCAGAAGGACTTACTATTGCTCTGCAGCCATCCCTGTGTTTCCAACAGCTGTGCTAACAAGCTGTGCTGCCCCCCTGGGTCAGTGCCTCTGGCCCATGTCAATGGTTGTGCTGAGCACAATGGTGTTCCTCCTCTAGAGACATATTGTAGCAGAAGAGATACACCAGAAGTGGCTATTGAAGTGTCTCTGGATGGCTGCCTCAGTGACCATAGACAAGCTATTAACAAAACTCACGAGGACCAACATGATAACAGTACACATTTTTAACCTGGTACCCACATAAAGTCAGACTATTTAGACAAGGCACTTTGGAATTGCCAACCTGGCCTGTGGAAAGAGCTTTGTGGGTTGTGGGCTCTGACCAAACTTGCAGTGCGTGCTCTTTGTGTTCAGTGAGGGTTGGCTGTTTGGGATTTTAGTGAAACATGTCTGTTGATTTTCATGTCACTGATGACCATTTTCCATCATCCTGGGTAACGACTGCTGCTCTTCAACAGTTTCAGTTTAAACATACATTTTCTGAAACAAACTGAACTAGAGTCAATGTCAATGTCAGGGACATTGAAGGGCTGGGGCTCAGTGACCGTGGACACAGATTTCAAAGTAGTTCTTGCTTTGTGTATGTGTATGTGGTGCTGGCGATAGATCCCAGGGCCTTGAACATATTAGGCAAGAGCTGTACAACTGAACTGTAGATCTCCAATCCTTGTTTTCAAACTGATCAGAACTTTTTGCTGACTCTCAGGTGAGCTCATAGTCTAAGTACATAGAAAAAACTGATGTACCATGATAGCTATGTTTTCTCCCCCATGAAGATCATGAAAGAGGAAAACTAGATATTTCTGGTACTGCAGAAGTATCTTTGATTCAACTTGGATAAATGTAAAATAAATACCTGTTAAGGTATAAATTGTTCTCAAAGCATTAGAGGAAGTGGATTCTAGTGGGTAAGGAGAAAAATGTATTTTTTTTTTTTTGGACCATCTTTTCAGTTTGTTAGGCTAAAGAAAACTAATGTTTACTTTCTGCTGGGAACTGATCTTTGGTTATAGCATGTTTTAGATGTTTAAATACCTTCTTTTCACTTGGAAGTGTGGGAATACTTCTATTTCCTTATGTACTTATTTGCTATCATTTAGAGTCTCCAGTTGGGATTACTATCATGTATTGCTTTGATGATGATTTACTTATTTGTTAAAATTTCCTTAGAGTCTCTTTTTATATGATCACATTGATCTGTGTGACATTTACCAGGGGAAAATGAGTATTCCTGACATAGGAGAATGCGAGCTATTGAGTGCTTATTTCTGCCAAATAAATAAGCTATACTGATGTTCCTTTAATTAGACATGTTTTAAAGTATTTATTACAGTTGCCATATAGCAACTTGATGGAAAAGTTGATGTCTTAGTGAGAAACGAGAGTTAATTTAACTGCTGCTTTTAATGTGTTTTGAAGAGCTTAGCGTTTTCTTTTAGATCTCTGACTCATATTACCAAGTTCAAATAAAAAATTTATTATAATCTAATTTAGACACATAACTGAACTACATTAGTAGTGGAGAAGTATCTTTTGTGTATTTAACAGATTGTTTAGGTATTAGTATTTAAGCCAAACAGTCTCCTAGGTGTGTGAAATAGGAGGTCCCCTAGAGAGCCAGCATTTTCTTTGATAGGTTGTAAGACTGACTGAAAAACTCTCCTTTTCTAGGTTGTAAGCTTTGAGTCCTGTTTGGAATCTGCACAGGCTTTATTAAAATCTCTGGGATCATAACAAACAATATCTGCATTTTTTTTATCACAGGCATCATTTTAAAAATATTTGTCTTTGTCAGGGAAGGTGGTGTACACCTGTAGTCCCAGCTACTCAGGAGGCTGAGCAGGAGAATCATTTGGGGCCCAGGGGAGTTTGAAGCCAGTTTGGGCAACACAGTGAGACCCTGACTCAAAAAAATAAAAATTTCTTGGTCTTAGTCCTAAAATTGAATGCTAGTAAGTAAACAGCTATGATCATGATGTAAGATAGAAAATTCTTTATTCTTTGCAAGTTTATTAGCTAAGTTTAAATTGGCTGTAAACAGGTACATAGAAAAATTCCTAAAAATGTGTTCATCTCTAGAAGTTTATTGGATTAGGTTATATGCACTTTATAAGTCGGGGGGGGGGGGTAAATAGTAAGACACCATTTCTATTTTTAGTATCAAAAGTGAGACATGTACTCTCACATAAACCAGAGGATTCTCTAAGAAACTCACCATAGTGAGATGTGAACCAAATTCTCCTACCTAAATATTGCTTGAGATGCCTTAGCTGGAGCCAAAGAAGAAATCTGTCTCTTACTTCCAAATTTGAAGGTCTAATTTGATTTCACACCATTTTCTCTTTATTAAAAGGGAAAAATTGTAATTTTGCAGTTTTTGTGCAGCTGGCTAAAGGAATGCATTTCAGCTTGTTTCTAAACAATGACCTTTACTTAATCTCTAAGGTATTTTTCTGGAAAGGAGAAAGCACTTAATTCCAACATAATTAAATATTACCTCAGAAAACTATCTTGATTGACACTTATAAATATCCCAAATTATGGGTGAGGGCCAGTGAAAAATAATGCCTTTTAAAGATAGTTTGGCTAAGTGCATTTAATAAAATCCAAACAAGCTGAATAAGTGCAGTTTTTAAAAATTGGGTTAGGCGAGTTTCATTTGTCACCTGCTGTATGGTACTTTAATTTGGGTTCTACTCTCCCTTCAGTTGTTCTCTCTTTGAATTCTCCCAAGGAAATGAAAGAGTTTTCTTTTTCCCTCTGAATCAGTGCTGTTTGATGATAGCTACATCTGATGAACAGTAGATTTAAAACAAGAGTTTTTTAGATTAGAGAAATACTGCCACTCAGTTTGTGTTCTTGTATGCTTAAGTTCATTCCAGAAAATGCTCTCCTTTTTTTTTTAAGCATTTAATTCCCCGCCCCCCCACCCAACCCCCTTCAGTGCTGGGTATCAAACAAAAGGGCTTGCACATGGTAGGCAAAGTTTCTGCCACTGAGCTAAACCCCTGGCCCTGAAAATGTTTTTTATAAAGTTTGTGGCATCCTTTGTGTGTCAGGTCAGAACCATTTTGTTCTGCATGCTAGTCTGGCTATTTATCCTTCTAGCACTTTCTATAGCTCTCTTGCCCTTCTCGTTCTATGGAACAAGTTCTTTCTATGGAACATTGTAGAAAGCACTAGAACTGCTAAAACTGCTTAATTTTCCAACTTTCCGCTTTGTTTTTGAAAATAGAGGCTGATTTTTTTTCCATGCTATTTGGCCGTTATGAATATTCACAAGGCCACTAGTCTCATTGTTGTCAGAAAAAAATACTGTCTAACTTTTTGATAAAATGTCAATAAAACAGGGAGATATTATTTGAGGATTTAATTTAGTTAAGGCCTTCACAAATGCCTGTGCATACTAGGATGTAAAACAAATTTTTTTTTTTTAGTATGGGTTATGAGAAAAACATGTATGAAAGGCATCATTTTATATAATTCCAAGGGATTAATAGTGGTACTTCTCAGGAGGAAAACCTGAAATTGAAATTTAGAATTTACACGAGGCAGGATGTGCTTAGTAAGGCAGCTTCTCTGTGACAATCGAAGCTTCTGCTCTGTTTAAACTGGGCTTTTTTTTTAATATTTATTTTTTAGTTTTAGGTGGACACAATATCTTTTATTTTATTTTTTTTATGTGGTGCTGAGAATCAAACCCAGTGCCTCACGCATGCTAGGCAAGCGCGCTACCACTTGAGCCACATCCCCAGCCCATAAACCAGGTTTTTCAATCTTGACATTATTGATATTTTCAACTGGACAATTCCCGATGTGTGGGGATGTCCTGTGTATTACAGGATGTTTAGCAACATCTCTGGTTTCTATTCATTTGATGCCAGTAGCATCTCCCCAAGTTGTGGCAGCTAGAAATGTCTGTGACATTGCCAGACGCCCTGTGGGGAAAATTTTTACCCCTAGTTCTGAACAACTGGCTTATACTAAGGGTCTTAGGGCTGTTGTTGATGAAGTCCCTCCAGAGCCCAATAGTACTTTTAATATCATCAGTTTTTCAGGATTCGCTCTTTAAAAATAGTGCTTAGTTTATTTGTTGTGCTAGGGATCAAACCCAGGATCTTGCACATGCTAAACACTTGCTATGCCACTCAGTTACTCCCTCAGTCAAACAATGTTTTAAATGTTGAGATTAAACTATAAAAATGACTGGTTGTCTCTACCTAGGAATTTGGGGTATTTAAAGAAAAAAAAATATAATTTTAAAAATCCTGCTATACCAATCCAACATTAGGATAATGAATGCAGTGAAAAGAAAACTATTTGCTCTCTGTTCTGTGATAATTTCTTCAACTCTTGGGTAGCTTCAATTTGATGAGCACACCATGAATGAGACTGGGTAATATCAGCACAATCGATTCTTGGGGTTAAAGTTTTAAATTTTTCATATTTAAAATTCTCAATTTTAAACTCGATGTTTCTTGTTATTAGTTTTTGGTAAGGAGCTCATCTTAGTGCTTATGACAAGTTTAGACATTAAAACATTCTTCATCCTTTATGACTAGCTTAATCCCTTGCCAAATCCTATCTATTTTCTCTGAGGGGGCGACATATATTAACAGAATTTGGAAGTATCTTGCTTTTAAATGATTTTCATACTCTTGTAGTTCAAGACTGCAAATAAGACTAGTTTAGGAAAAATGGGGATACACTTCTTGATTTCGGTTTTTGTGTTTAGATAAATGATCTCTGACTGAATGTCTGTCCTATAGCTCTGCCTTTAACCTGATCAACTGTCATCTATTTGCACTTCTGAGTGTCTTTATATCCGAGTGGCCACAGTAGGAATGAAGTTATTGAATCAGGAAATTGGAACTTTCATCAGACCATAATTCTCACTGTAGTCCAAATGTTCTTATGGACTTGAAGTTTAGCTAATGTAGATGTGTTATTTTCTGGCACTTCTTTTACCAGGTGTTTTGTTGTTTACATGGAACTTTCTTGAATGCTTGCTAAATGATCAACTGTCACCTCTTCTACAAAGCCAGGCCAGCAACTCTGAACCTGTTCTGAATTCTAATGAGAACAACCCAGAAAGGTTGATTCACAAGGGAGAATGACCCCTTCTTGGAGGTTTGAGGTTATGTTACAATATTGTGGAGCTTTGTTGCTTAAAGTCCTCCTTCTATCTTCATACGCAATTTTGCTAAAGTGTAATCATTACATTTGGGAGGTTGTTAAAACTTTAAGATATAGAGTTTAAATAACTCATTACTAACTGCATGCGACTCCCCCCAACAATGTATGTATTTCTGTGTACCTTTTGAAGGTGAAAGATGTTCAATGGTGCTGTAAATAAAATTTTTAAGAAACAAAAGTACAACCCAGGTGTTTGTGGAAATTGAACAGATAACCTGAAAGAGTTGACCTCATTTTGTCTTTGTCCCTTACCTTGGCAAACATGACTCAGAAATTCCTTAGTTTGGTTTTGAAAATTCGGGCAATTCTTGTTTTCTGTTTTGCTAGCCTCTTGTTCACACCTCTTTCTACTACCCTATACCATTTACAATATAACAAGGCCTATGTGTTAGTCAGCTTTCTGTTACTATAACAAACACTTGAGATAATCATATTTTAAAGAGAAAAGGTTTATTTTGGATCATGATTTTGAAAGATTTAGTTCATGACCAATTGGCTCTGTTCCTTTTGGGCCTGTGGAGAGAGAGCACATCATGATGGGGAACACATGACAGAACAAATAACTTCTTATTTCATGTCCAAAAAGCAAAAAAGAGAAAGAAGAAGAGTCTGGGGTTCGACTATCAACCTCAAGGGCATACCCCCAATGACTAGAACACCTCCCAACTGGCCCTACTTCATGTTTTCTTCACCTCCTGATAGCATAAAGCTAGGGTCTAAGTCTTTAATACATGGGCCATTGGGGAACATTTAAGGTCCAAACCATAGCAGTTCATCTTGGAAAAAATGTCACAAATCGATGCAGCTGTCTTACTTATTGTAAGCTACACTGATCTGGTTGCCTAGTAGAATATATTTGGTCCTGGACTACCCAATAGGGTTTGCATAGAAAGGGAGCTTCTTGGCTTTACGGAATGGTGGAGAGGCCCACCATTATTTTGGAGAGGGCCCCATCCATACATAGGCTTGGAAATCTCTTTATAGAATTGAATGTAACCTTCATAAGTATTGAATTAAGAGAACAGTATTCCACTATTTTAATTGATTTTATTTTGTCAATCAATTGATTGATCTGCATATATATTATAAACTTGTGCCAGTGACTCTGGCCTCTATGGAATTTATAGGTTACATATGAATCTAGGTAAGGCAATCCAGTTTTGTGGGAGTTTATGGGGAGCTTTGTAGGGCCTGGGATTGGGACGGGCACCTAATGCTGGATGCATTCTGGTGCTCAAATGTCACGGTCCAGGACTGAGGCAGCATCTCCAGGAGACAGCTGCACAACTCTTCAGGACCACCTGCTTCCTTCAATGACTTTGCAGCATGGTGCCCAGAAGGGACCCAGGACACAGAGAACCGAATCTCTGCCTACCCCATTCTCTCTGCATCCTACTCTACAGAATATTCTTCATAACACTCTTGCTTCATGACATGATATTAAACCCTTACTTATTTCCCTCTCTCCCACTAGAATAAAGCTTGGTTTAATCCATCAATGTCAGCTCCTGTCACAATACCTTTGACAGTACCTAGTAGCTCAATTCTCAGGTAATGAATAAACACAAGAATGAACAAATAAGTCCAACTCCTATTTCCAGTTTTAGACTTTTGACAGTTTCAAACTGAGCTTCAGTTTTTTATTTATAAATGAGACTAATGAAGGAAACGTGCACTACCTACCCTGCAGGCTCATTGGAATCAGGAGATAATTCGGGTGAGTACATATTTAAATGTCAATGGATTTTATTATCTTATACATTTGATCTGGCATTCTTGTACTTCCTGTTCTCAACCTGTCTCTTCTCATCCCCCTCTGTGAATTAATTAAGTACCATTCAATGCTAAATAGAACTAAAGAGGGGCATAAGCAACACGGGTGAGTCCAGGACACCTTCTCAGAAAAGTTGGCTTTTTAAATGAACCTTGAAGCAATTCAATGAGTGAGAAGAAAGATAGAAAGAATATTCCAAATGGAGAGCCCGGACTTCACTCTTCAGGCAGCTGGCCAAGAACAAATTGGGGAAATGCCAGGAATAGAATATTTTTGGAAAACAGTTTTCTCCATACACCCCCCCCCCCCCCACACACACACTCTGTCACTCCTGTACAGTGTTTTACCCAACACACACCCAGCACCTGGCCCTGGGTCTCCAGTCCTGCCTGACATCCTGGGCTCAGCTAGCTGTGGCTGAGGACGCATTGTGCGTTTTCTCAGAGGGTCTGCAGACACTCCAGATTCACTGAACCTTAATGACAAAGCTGGCTCTCCTTGACATGTCTCTGTTGGTTTCAATGGGAGCATCCTGCCCACACCCCTTCCCCCAGATCATCTCTCCAAAGCAGCTCAAGTCTGGCCACTTGGTTTAAGGCCGCCTTTCCTCTCTTACTGTGCCCAGTGATTAATGTTCACCTGGATATTGTCTCTATGTCAGCACCCTCTTCCTTTCCCTCTCCCTTTCTCAGGTTCGTCCTATCACCTTAGCCTGTGCTGTTACAGAAGCCTCCAGACCTTGGGCCACCTCTCAACTTCCTCTTGCCTTTCCTTTGCTCTAGGAAAAAAGACAAACCCTTCCACCTGCTCCCAAGGCTCTCTTTCATCCCAGCCCCTCAGGCTTCACCTTTCTTCTGCAGATAAGAGGAACACAGAGATCCTGGAGGAATTAGGAAAGAAGGTGTCAGACTGGTTCCTGGCAGGGGGAGGAGGGACTCCAGATACCCATTGGGAGTCTTGCTCATCCGCCAAAAAGACATTTCACTTTTTAAATTACATTTGCCAAGTTATTTCCTTTCTGATTTTTCTTTTTTGCCTATTTTTTTTTTCTTCTCTGTTGGTGTGTTGCTTTGTCCCAAAGGTAGTTTCCTGTGGACTGTGGCCCTTTTCTACCCAAATCCTGATTCCTGAGCACACTCTGAAGCTGACCCCTCCTGTGTGTGGAAGCAGAGTCATCTCTCTGCCCTCTGGTGTAAGGCAGGAAGGAAGTGAACCTTCCTTCTCTCAGTTTTGTCACAGGGTAACAAGTGTGCCTGGGCCTTCTAACTAAACTCCAATTTATAGTCAAAATATTTAGACTCTCACACCAATTCTTTTAGGCTTGAGGATGCTGAAGAATTTTGGGATGGGATTTATAGCTACAGAGTGAGGTGGTATTTCACCTGTGTTTTCTGGGAGGAGGAGTCTGAAACAGAAAGAGCAAATTCCCCCGAGTGTCTGGCCTTGATAGGGGCTGGTAGTGGCAATGATAACAGCCAGGTCTCTTATCTACTTCAGAAAATGGGGCCCCTCAGAGCTTTCTGCACTACTGGGAGTTTGAGGCTGTAATCTGAAACTCAAAGGCATTCAGAAAATACTAATACTATCGTTTTGCAAAGAGTTATGCTTAATACTTGCTTTATTGCTTTTGCTTTCATTGTAAAAAATCAAACTACAAGTACTTCCTAAGTGGAGAGACATGATTTGACCCATGGTATGACCAAACCTAGGTCATAAAAAAATGCTTTCCAGAGAAATGTTATTATGAAAATGAATATAGAGTGCATACTAGGAAGTGTTGGGTTTAAACATTTTTGTCTGCTTTCAAATTCGAGCTCTGCCATGTTAGTTCTTTGACCTTTGGATATATATTGTTAGAGAATTAAAAAAAAAGTCTCAGGCCTCATTTGTGCCATCTATAAAATGGAATAATCATAGTTCCTGCCTCGTGGGGACTAAAGAAGATGACCAAGGTGGGGGTCTCAGCATACTGCCTGATTCTGTAAGTGCTCTGTGAGTGCGGGATATTTCTAAAACACCAAAGTTAATAAGGAAAATTTCAGTCAGATTCATTTCTGTTTTAATTCACTATTCACAGTGGAAATGTCAAAATGTATAATGTAGATGGATATCCAATTAGATTTTATGTCACTTCACCAAGGAACAATATAAGCCTGATTATATACCACAAAAATACCAAGGGACCCTATTCTAAGTAAAGCAAAACAAGCCCAATGCGGAAGGGCTTCAAGGAAATATCAGGGCTTAATTCCATAGGCTCTCATCTCCCACCAGACACAGGGGGCTTGGCCAGTTATATTACTGATTGAGAGTTGCTGAATCCAGGGGTCCAAGTCATAGGCAGTGAGCACTTCAGCTAATCTGGGGGAATGTCCACTTCTATTAATGCCCTGCAGCTAAGCACCACCAAGAACACACCTGTGGGTAAACAAATGAGGTTCAGTGCTCAATTCAGCAAAAAAGGAGACTTTTACTCCAGAGTTCCACGGCACATCTCAGCAAGAGGGTGTTCAAAATGACCTACTGTAGGATTCAGGCCCATGTCAGGTGAATTGGAGGAGGAGTCAAGGAATCTTCTGGATTTACTAATAAGTAGATATAATTTGGGGGGTATCTTTATAAATGCTATTGATGAGGTGGGAGAAATGAAGCAAGGCTCAAATTTTAAATGGAAGCCGTGGTCACTTATTTTATCCAGGATAGGGTCTGGTATTTTTGTGATTTGTGCAATGCTCTTGTTTTTGTCTGTGCTTACCCAGGCTTACAGAGTGACCTTATTTCTTGCCCCACTTCACCAGGGTCATGGGATGGCCTCTTGGCTGGTGCTGGTATCCTCAGAAGTTGTATCCAACAGGAGAATACCATGGCTCAGCCACAAGGGCCAGAATAGTCATACCAATACCAAGACTTTTTGTATTTGCCAGTTTCCAGATGCCAAGGGCCTGCTTTACTTTGTATTGCATTTTCAGTACTTAGAATATGCATTGGTACATTTTAAAGAAGCAAGTTATGAGGGTTTAAATCCTGGTGAAAAGGCCACTTGGAAGCTGTGCTGCCCTGGGTGAATTGCTTCACTCTTTGGAGTGTCAATGCCTCCCAGGGCTGGGGTGAAAATTAAATGAGATAATAATGCATGTTCCTGGCCAATAGTAATTTACAAATATGAGCAGTGTCTGTTGAACCCTTCTATGTAATTCTGCCTCCACGGCTGTCTGATTTTAGGACACGATCAAAAGTATGTTCTCATTTTGCCTCATTTTATTGCCTTTAACCATGGGATGATTAAAAAAAAAATTCTTGAAATATCATGATCAGAAGACCTGTCTGCAGCTTAAGACTACTTCTTCCTTTGTCCTAATTTATAAGAAATATTCCTGGATCAGCATCCACTTACCAGAGAAAACATTTGGCCTTTGGTTTTGGGGAATTGGCTTACTTTACTTAGCATAATATT